CACCCCACCACGTTGGTCACAGTAGAAAAGCATTCCAAATGAAATCAACAGCTCATAGTGTCACGCCATGCACTCAACTCAGGAGCTGGGTGACGAAACTATCCTTTCAGTCTACAAATGGAGCAACAATGCACCGGCCACCGTCTGACAGAAGCAAAACATTTTGCCACGGCTCACAACAGTAACCGTGCCAAGTGTGAGGTATGGCGAAGAACGTGGGAAAAGGTTCTTTTCTTCATGACTCACAAACTTTCAGTTCCTCAATTGTCACATGTTCAAAGTTAGTTGCATATCTTTTACAGGACGTTGCCGAACCAATCCCAGCTGTTTTTTTTTTTTTTTTTTTTTACTGTTGTGGTTTTCTATGCAAATTTACGTCCAGTAATTTGCCATCGTTTTCTGGACAGTCGCCTGTCGATACCACTGTCGAAACCAACGCCGGGCGCAGGGGCTGCAGCTGGGATCGAACCCGGCACCCCGTCATTACGAAGCGAGTTCACATCACCTTAGCCATAGGCGCCGACCCCACCTGTTGAAATCTAAAGTTTTTTCCTGTATCAAATTATTTCACCGCAATTTCGTCCTTTAAGATTCTCGACGGTTGGGAATTGGATTTTGAGATCTTTCCGTCTGACGAGGATCATCCCCACCCGATGAGTCTAAGGTACCTCTCCTTCTGCGGCAAGTCAACGCCGGAGGCTCAGTACACGAGCAAGCAGAACGTTGCTCAAATTCAGTTCATCGTGCCTAAAGAAGGTCAGGGTTTTCAGGTCAAGATTAACTTCAACGCAAACTATAAACGTAAGCAGTTGTCTTGTTCAAAGTTATCTCTGTACTTGTCTCTAAACATTTAGCGCTATTATAACGGTAAGCAATTGTCTTGTTCAAAGTTATCTCTGTACTTGTCTCTAAACATTTAGCGCCATTATAACGGTAAGCAATTGTCTTGTTCAAAGTTATCTCTGTACTTGTCTCTAAACATTTAGCGCCATTATAACGGTAAATGAATTCCAGAGAAATTTGACTAAAAAGCTCAACAAAATGGGAAAAAGGAAAACGTGCACAAAACTACACAACGTAACGTTTCGGCCAGGCAGCCTTTTTCAAACACAAGTGGACTACACAAAAGAGGAATGGAGAGTATGTAGATCTCTAAGGGGTGACGTGAGCGACGTTTAAAAAATGTGATGCGGAATAAATGAAATAAAATAAAATAAACGATGGCTAAAAAATATAGTCACAATACTGGGAATAAAAGAAATGCAAGTGTTAATGATACATAAATGATATTGATAAGAAATAGAATATGGTAATAATATTAAATAAAATAAAATAATTAACATTTAAAATGTAATAAGATTAGAACTATTTAGATGAAGGTATGTTGGATATTGATACCTCTTGGACTAAGAACGCCAAGGCTGTGGATAAGGCGATTTTCTAAAGCGAGGCGGGTAGTATGATCGCCAGAGCAAGATTTTAATGCTGTGACAGATATGTCATCATTACCGCTGTGGTCAGGGCTATTAAAATGAAGAGGGATTGGTTTGAGTGTCTTCTTGTCGATATCAGAGAGGTGCTCCCGGAAACGATCAGCTAGCTTCCTGCCAGTCTCCCCAATGTATGCCATGCTGCATCGTTTGCAGATAATTGCATAAATTACGTTGCGGGATTCGCAAGTAAAAGGTTTCCTAATTTGAAAAGAACCATTAGGGAAACTGACCGAAGAAGTCTGATCCGGACATCAAGATTATCTTTAGTGAGAAACCTAGATTAGTTTACAGACGAGATCGCAACCTTAAAGACATGCTTGTCCGAAGCCGACTCCCACCGATCCATACAGCACTTCCTCTTGGGACTACTCAGTGCTCACGCAGCACCTGCAAAACATGTCCTTTCGTTGTCCAGACTTCTTCGGTCAGTTTCCCTAATGGTTCTTTTCAAATTAGGGAACCTTTTACTTGCGAATCCCGCAACGTAATTTATGCAATTATCTGCAAACGATGCAGCATGGCATACATTGGGGAGACTGGCAGGAAGCTAGCTGATCGTTTCCGGGAGCACCTCTCTGATATCGACAAGAAGACACTCAAACCAATCCCTCTTCATTTTAATAGCCCTGACCACAGCGGTAATGATGACATATCTGTCACAGCATTAAAATCTTGCTCTGGCGATCATACTACCCGCCTCGCTTTAGAAAATCGCCTTATCCACAGCCTTGGCGTTCTTAGTCCAAGAGGTATCAATATCCAACATACCTTCATCTAAATAGTTCTAATCTTATTACATTTTAAATGTTAATTATTTTATTTTATTTAATATTATTACCATATTCTATTTCTTATCGATATCATTTATGTATCATTAACACTTGCATTTCTTTTATTCCCAGTATTGTGACTATATTTTTTAGCCATCGTTTATTTTATTTTATTTCATTTATTCCGCATCACATTTTTTAAACGTCGCTCACGTCACCCCTTAGAGATCTACATACTCTCCATTCCTCTTTTGTGTAGTCCACTTGTGTTTGAAAAAGGCTGCCTGGCCGAAACGTTACGTTGTGTAGTTTTGTGCACGTTTTCCTTTTTCCCATTTTGTTGAGCTTTTTAGTCAAATTTCTCTGGAATTCATTGTATTAGCTTGACTGCAGTCACCCCCATAGTTTCACCATTTTATAACGGTAAGCAATTGTCTTGTTCAAAGTTATTTCCGTATTTGTCTCTAAACATTTAGCGCCAATATAACGGTAAGCAATTATCTTGTTGAAGATTATCTTCCTATTTGTCTCTAAACATTTAGCGCTATTATAATGGTAAGCAATTGTCTTGTTCAAAATTATCTCCCTATTCGTCTCTAAACATTTAGCGCCATTATAAAGGTGAGCTATGTCTTGTTCAAAGTTATCTCCATTTTTGTCTGTATGCATTTAGCGCCATTGGCAGCGGTGAAACGTTGCAAGCTAGCTTGGTTTGGGCGGTGGTCTGACACGATTCTTCAAATGCAAAGATTGTACTTCAGAGAAAATTGGGGGAGGGGAAATGGGGGTGGGAGTGGGAGAGGGTAGTCAAAGAAGAGGAGGGCAAAGAAGAATCTGGAATGACAGCATAAAGAAATGGACAGGACTAAGTTATCATACACACTCATCAAGCGAGAGACAGAGAAAGATGAAGAATTGTATGTACTAGTGCTTCCATCAACACACCTCCACGACCCTCCTGGGTCTAAGGGTTGTGTTAGTTAGCTCCATATTCTCTGGTATACAGGTAATCTTAGTTTCAGCTTCATAGGATACGGGTCACTCCACAGCTTTCTGTGTTGAGGCGTACACTCATTTCAGTAGCTGGGCGACAAAACTATACCCTTTCAGTCTATAAATAGAAGGAAATGCAACAGCCACAGTCTGTCAGAGCAAATATTTGCCATGAAAAAAATCATTGAAGTGCCTTGCCTCCATTTTGACCGAAGTCGATACACACTCAATATACCCAAGTATGAAAACGGGCTCTTTAATTACTATATTTATAGGAAGTAAAGGTGACTTCTTCTTCTTCTTCTTCTTCTTCTTCTTCTTCTTCTTCTTCTTCTTCTTCTTCTTCTTCTTCTTCTTCTTCTTCTTCTTCTTCTTCTTCTTCTCTTCTTCTTCTTCTTCTTCTTCTTCTTCTTCTTCTTCTTCTTCTTCTTCTTCTTCTTCTTCTTCTTCTTCTTCTTCTTCTTCTTCTTCTTCTTCTTCTTCTTCTTCTTCTTCTTCTTCATCCTCTTCTTCTTCTTCTTCTTTTCTTCTTTTTCTTCTTCTTCTTCTTCTTCTTCTTCTACTACTACTACTACTACTACTACTACTACTACTACTACTACTACTACTACTACTACTACTACTACTACTACTACTACTACTACTACTACTACTACTACTACTACTACTACTACTACTACTACTACTACTACTGATACTACTACTACTACTACTACTACTACTACTACTACTACTACTACTACTACTACTACTACTACTACTACTACTACTACTACTAGAAACTACTACTACTACACCTATTACTACTATTACTTCTACTTTTACTACTACTACTACTGATACTACTACTACTACTACTACTACTACTACTACTACTACTACTACTAACTACTAACTACTACTACTACTACTACTACTACTACTACTACTACTACTACTACTACTACTACTACTACTACTACTACTACTACTACTACTACTACTACTACTACTACACGTTTACCAGCGGTAAACTCTGGCGAAAAATTCTGGTTGTTTGCCCTCTTCTGGACTTCTGTCATGTTCCACAACTTGAGTTGTGCGTGCACATTTTGTTTTTCTTTCAGATCTGGCTTATGTGTAAATAGACTTTGGGTGGTTCCTGGCCTCTCAAGCAGATGCACTCCGACTTCTAAGGAAATATCCCTCATTAGTCGACTATTACGAAACGCCTGTAAGGGGATCGGAAGTGTGGTTGGTTGTCCAGCCCCCTCCCCCCCCCCCCACCACCACCTAGGACCCCGGTACCCACACGAAGAAAATATTTATCTAGAACCATGTACCTGATGCGGCAGTTACATGTTAAGGGCTTTTGCCTTTTGTTTTTTGATGAATTTCTTCTTTCAAAAAGGAGAGCTGGGCTATACATGTATTTTATTTCGAGTCATGTTTGCCTTCATCCTCGATTTCCCGTTGCCTGAAATTTATATTTTTTACATCAGATATTCAAACAGGAACAAAATGATTGCATTTCGAATTGTACGTGCTGTGTCTGAACTGCTTGTTGCAAGGTTGTGCAAATAGAGACAACAAGTAGTCCGGAATTGTGTCGTTTCTGTGCGGAAATTATTTTATTCCACATTAGTTCTTGTAGTAGTAGCCGCCGTGGTGTAGCAGCTAGTCGCTCGCCTGCAGACCGGAAGGTCGTGAGTTCGGGTCCTGATAGAGCCGGAATTTTGTTTCTTCAAAAACATGACCTTGGCTCCGAGGTCTACTCAGCCGTGAGAGAACAGCAGGTGTAGTCCTGGGAAGTAAAGGTGGGCGGCGTGATGTTGACCACATCGCATAGACGGGGCTGACTGGTCTATAAAATATAGCTCTAGCATTATATGACCAAAACACCCGAAGGCGTGGAAAAAATTCATTTACTTGACAAATAGTTTTAGCAAATTATTCATGCTAAATCTTCTTCTTCTTCTTTCTTCTTCGTGTTCACCAGCTGTACACTCAGGCGGAAGGTTCTGGTTGCTCGTCCATTATTGAACTGCAGTCCTGCAGAACCTGAGTGTTGCGTGTGCATCAATTTTACAGATAGACTGTTGGTTCCTTGCCTCTCCGGCAGATGCACTTCGACTTCAAAGGAAGCTTCCCAATTAGTCGACTATTACGACATGCTTTTGGGGAGGCAGTGGGTCTATTCTTGTTTTCCCCACAATGGGGCCCCGGAACCCACACGGCGGTCATGCTAAATGATCAAAAAGATCGTTATCGTCTGCTGAACATAGTTATCATCACAGCACACAAGTAAACCACGCCGTTTCTTTGCCAGCTCTCTCTCACACCTCACTTGATTATTTCACCTCTCAGGAGGTGCTTCTTGTCTGCAGTTACTCTGATATGTGACTGCTTGCAGAACATTGAGCCTTTCTGCAATAGTAGGCAGTGCAAGTATAACATCACATACATACTACCGGTGTATCTCTTGTACATCTGTGCCAACACCATGTGGATATTTGGGTGGGTTGTGTGGTATTTGTGTGTGGGTTTGAATCTTGACACTCAACACCCACCTGAGAAACTGGACTGATATCTGAGCTATGTTGATCCCAGAGACTCTCCTGGATAACCATAAGAAACAACAAAAAAGTGGCTCGTAGAATAAAATTGAAGTCGCTGCACTTGTGTCAACAGGAGTAAGAAAAGGGTAGTTAGATATCGAAAGTAATTCAAGTGAATATTAAGATTCACGGTTAATCCCTTTGACTTTCTTCCCTCCTGTTTCAGTTTATAACAAAAGCACCCATCTAGTGATTTACATATACGCGAGCTGAAGTAAACAAGAATGTAAAGATCCTTAACCTAAGTACACAATTTACTCAACTATTTTATAACTTGAACAAGATTTAATTAATAGTCTAAACAAAATTAATTGAATGATATTGATCTTGCAATCATAAAAGATAATAACTCAGTGATGGTAATGTGTTTATTCAGTGAGCTCAATATGTGCATATGATAACTGATACCCATGTACCTCAGTTTGCTTTCTCTTTTGATGTTTCTGTCATTAAATGTGTGCAAAATTATCTCTTACAATTCTTTTGACCAGAAAGCACCACAAAACAGCCGCCTTTTCTGAGTTGATGACAGCACCCACTTCAGCACAACAGTCAGTCACTTTGTCTACAGTTGCCTATAGCTCTTGGGCTATCCGTTGCCTATTACTCTCCTGCCTGTATGCAATAACATCATCAGCAAATGTCAATATCCTTCCAACACCTGGTGTCTCCAGTTCTGCAATCTTGCTTGTTTACACATTGAAGAGCAATTCAGTTATTTTCGCTGCTCCTTTATTACTTCAACGAAGATGTGTTTTCCGATGGTCTTAAGCGACCCCTATGAGAGTGTCGTTCAACCCTAAAATAGAGTAGAGACCCACAGGTTGAGTTCCGCTGCTTTATAAAATGAAAACACTTGCCTCTGTTTACCCAATGTGATGCAGTGTTAACCTGGCAATGGTCAGGCTAGGGCTTTGATAGAAATTCGAAAAATCGCACTTCAGTGACGACCAATTTCATGTGTGAACCATTCAAGATTTATATTAAAGACACACTTGTTTATGGCTGAAAGAGTTACAAGGTGTACTTTTTATTACTTTTTTTTTTTTTACAGTGCCGTTACTATTTTTGTAATCACCTTCTGTGGAGTTAATGCAACATATACTTCTAGAGTGTGTCTAATTTTGGGTACTGTTTTACCACATTATAGCTCCTTTCACAATCGATTCTCATGGTTAAATTTTTAACTACTTGAGGCACTTTAGTATGACATCATGACATCATGAAAAATGACATCATACATTGTTGAACAACCACATTCGATAACCTGCCACTTTTGAAGAACATTTCTCAACCAAAAATATTTTCTTCAATAATCAACACCATTATAACAATCAGTTCCTAAAACACCTATATAAAGCCGTGATATTCTAAACTAACGGTTACTTGGTGTTTGTTTGAAACATAATGTAGTATTTAAAATAATTACGATGTGTAAATAATTTTTATATAATAATTATAATATATAATATTATAAATTATAATAATCATGTAATAAATATTATTAATTAAAATTGATTTCAAAAAGCCTACAGTCATTAAAAATTCACCCTACAAGTGCACAGGGTTGCTGCTCACTGATTACTGATTGTTTGTTGGTCTCCTGGCAGCTTGTAACATGCTACTGCTCAATAATGATTACCACAAGATCACACTGAGGAACTTTGGGCTAGCCCGCAACTGCACGGTCTTGTCTCTGAACCCACAGACAGTACAGCTGTTGTACATCAACGTAGGTACGACCCCATACTTGTGTACTGTTTGTCAACATTGTAGCTAGTGTTGTTTACTGTAAACTTACCGAAATAAAATTAAGAATTTCTTTTTATGCATTGAGCATTGCAGTGTACTGCTTTACACTACTGTCGAAGGCGAATGAACCATCGACCAGGTTGATATTCTGAATGCTGTAAGGAAAGTAAGATGTTTGCAAGAACCAAGTGATTACCAGACTGCAAAAACAAAATGTTAAAACGGGTGTGGCCAGAACAGAGCACTATTCAGGTAGTTACAGAAGTATAAGAAACGAACACAGAACTGGTATAGTGGGCCGCTACACGCTGTGGGATTTACTAAAGAGGGGATCCGCGCACTTATGGACCGAATGGTTCGATATGTGATGGAGATCATCTGTCGACTAACTAACTAGCTAATGTACTATTTTGATGGCTCATTGCTCACACATATGCTCACTGTACATAGACGAGGAAACACGAACTCCAATTTGGACAGAAACGTCAACACAAAACAGCTGATAGTAAATGTTTATTGTTCAAGAAGCTTCTTCCCTCAGTCGGTGCCCTTCACTGAAAGAAATTTATAGTGTAATTTTCACTATCAAGGTATGATTGTTACAGACTATTTACTCGTTACCTCAATCAGAAAAATGCCACCACAAGTGACTCCTCCATTGTCGTTCATCATACGTCTCTGAAAAGATTTTCAATCGCTTGCTAATTTGGTTGGCACTTTCGATCAGTCATTTTGCAGACGGTATAACGTGGCCAGGTTTTTCTGTCTTTGTCAGTGGCTGGTACCGACGTTCACAGATTCACCATCAAACATTCGACAGAAAGGAGCATTCACACTTGCTCCCTGTCTAAACACATTCTATTCCCCGTGGATTTGGGAGTCTTCGTTCATTCATCATCGTGTTTCACATAACAACATCTACTACCAAAGACACGCTTTTCTTACAGTCAGTTACGTCTGTCCCGACACTTGTCCATTCAGTCTTTGACACATAGTGCAAGTTGGTTCTCTGGTAGAATTATGTGTTTTGTAGCTCAATCAGTACTCAGTGGGGGATGCGCTCAACAACACGTCGACAGCCATATTGTTCCAGTCAGTTACCTGGTAGAAAGTTACAAGTCAAGGACCTTTATCAGGCCTTTCAGGCATATTGGATGTATAGGGTTAGATCTATATTTTATAGACCAAACGGCACTTGGTGGGTGATGAGGTCAGCATCACGCCGGCTGCCTTTACTTCACAGGACTGTACCTGGTACCCACTCAAGGCTAGGCCGACCTGGGAGCCAAAGTTTTTTTTTAAATCTGGCCGTCGTCAGGAACCGAACCCATGACCTCCCGATCCGTAGCTGAGCGTCTAGCCGCTAGACCACGTCGGCTCCCCAAATTACCTGGTACTTGTTTTAGACTTAGTCGCCATAAGAGCCAAGATTTATTTTTTAAAGTAAAATCCACTTCAGTACGGATTTAAACTTAGATTGTCAAACCACTACGTGACCACAGCTACCCTGACGGAACTGTAAACCTGTTGTTCGCCCTTGTGTCATTAAGTGAATGTTATGTATGTGTCTCACTACCTGTACCCGCCATGCGTTTCTGTAGCTGAGTTTGTCGAAAAGGAAAGAAAAAAAAAATAGAAAGTGCACGTGTCTTATATGGTTAATATCAGTCATTCACAATTACAGACAGAGTCTGGACTCTAGAACACGCAACATGTAAGTGAGTATTTATATTAGTGGTCGATTAAAGTGCATTGTTAGAGTGAAAAAAAAAAAAAGGAAAAGTATTTTCTTAATCGCATGCTGAAGCACCTGTTGTGTTTAAACAGCGGAAAGTAAAGCAGACTACTATACCTCTAAATGACCAACAAATTCGCAAATGAGAATAGCTGAGAAAGCCGTATTAAAATGTAAATATTTAAGAAATGAGAACAGCAAAATAAAATTTTAAGCTCTCTCAGCTAACAGTGTCTGTCATCAATTCCCCCTCCCCTCCTTTTTTTTTCTTACCCTCCCCCAATCATATCTCCTTTTCCAAAGGATTGGAAAATCATCACCTGACGAAATTATTAAAATATAAATAGTTAAGAAATGAGAACTTTAAAATAATGTTGTAAGCTCTTTCAGTGAACAGCCTGTCATCAACTCCCCTAGCTCCCCCCTCCCCCACCCAACCACCTCCCTCCCCCCAGTAATATCGTCCTCTCCTTGGTAAGAAAGGAATGTGTGGTATTTTTGTTTTGTATGTTTTAGAAAAATAGGCATGAGAGTTCCGATTGCGATTCCTTTTAGGAAAAAAATTAAAAGTTCGACCACTTTCAGACTGCTGCTGGCTTGCCGAGGCTGCTAAGTCTCCGCCTATATTTATGGTCCGGGTTATTTGTGTCACTTTCATGACTAAAGTTCTAGTATTTGCACCCTCTCTGGTCTTTATTTACTTTACTTGTTTGTTTTTGTTGGGGGTGTTGATAAAATCGTGATGCTTGTTTGGCCATTAGTCCTCGACTGCCCTCTGAACAGTTCTGGTGGCGTTTTACCAGGCGCGCCGACTCGGCGGAAAAAGTGGCTGCTCTGCCGCAATTTATATGTTCCACTCTAAAACGTCCAGGGAGCCTTTAAAATTTGTGCGGGAAAGGAAGGGGTGCCTCACACCCATAAGAATATTGTTTGGGGCGAAGGGGTGGTTTGGGGGCTTAGGGGACCTGAACCCCCCCCCCCCCCATCCAAGTACTGTCACCTCTGCTCACTGTCTTTGTTCTTAATGCCCCCATGGGACTTGCTACCTAGCTAAACTAGCTGTTTCATTTATATAAATTTTAAACTTTCTCAGTCTAACCCCTTGCTCCCCCTGGAACATTGCGCATTTTTTAGTCAGTCAGTTAAGCAATCAATTATTTAATGAATCAGTTAGTCAGGCTGAGAATCAGTTAAGCAAGCATTTGAGCAAACAATCAAAGAATCATTTTGTATTCAGAAGATCAGTCTATCAAGCAATTAATTAGGCAATCAATAATTTGATCAGTCAGTCTGACAATCAAACAGTCAATCACTAAATCAGACATTTAACCAACCTAGTAATCAATTCATGAATCAGTCCGACACGCAATCAGTGGATCAGACAATCAACCAAACAATTGATCAGGAGATCAATTAATGATTCAATCAGTCCGACTATCAATCAGTCAATCAATAATTTAATCAGCCAACCGTTAATCAAGCAATCAATTAATCAGTCAGTCAGGCAGCCCGACAATCAATATATCAAGCAATCAGTCAACAAATGTAATCGTAGAATTAATCAGTTAATCGGTCAGTGAATCAGTTACTCTGTCGGACAGTCAGACAGTCTATCAGTCAATCATTTATCGTCTTCCGGAATGCATAAAGAATATATTACAATGTGCGTTTTAAAAAATAGTTGTGTATCCTTTACAGGACGTTGCAGAACCAACATCAGCATTTTTGTGTGAGTGTTGGCTGTTGTGGTTTTTCTAGGTACATTTTATATTTAGTAGTTTGCCACTGCCTGTTGGACGGTCAGCTCTCGGTACCACTGTCGAATCCAACGCAAAACAAAATCATCAGCAAATTGGATCCAACCCAGCACCCTGGAATTGTAATGTACGTGTGCGTGTCATTATTTATAAGGGAAAAACTGTTTCAAATTGCATGCGTCTTGTTCTACAGGTGAGAGGAGTAGAAATTCTCTGCTCTATCGATCGCTACATGAGTTACCTGGGGGGCTCAGAACGGCGGTAAGTGTATGCTGCGTCTGTCTGTCGCTTGACAAGTTAGTCTTTTGATTTGTCTAATGACCTACCCACTAACCTACATTATTTACCTACTTACCTACAAACCTACCTACTATACCTCTCTATCTATCCACCTACCTGCCTATCCACATATCTATCTACTATACCTCTCTATCTATCCACCTACCTGCCTATCCACATATCTATCTACTATACCTCTCTATCTATCCGCCTACCTGCCTATCCACATATCTATCTACGTATATATTTGTCTGTCAATCTATCGACCTGCCTACCTGACTGCTGTATGTCTGTCGTCTGTCTGTCTGTCTGTCTGTCTGTCTGTCTGTCTGTCTGTCTGTCTGTCTGTCTGTCTGTCTGTCTGTCTGTCTGTCTGTCTGTCTGTCTGTCTGTCTGTCTGTCTGTCTGTTCTGTCTGGCATGTCTTTCTGCCTGTCCGGTCTGTCTGTCTGACCGTCTGCCTGTCTGCCTGGATGGCTGGCTTTCCACCCGTCAAACGTCCGTCTGTCAGTCGGTTTTTTAGATGTTACTTTTTTATTTTACCTACTTATGTTACTATTTATTCTCTCTCTCTCTTTCTCTTCCCCCCCCCCCCGCCGCCCCTTTTTTTTCCACTCTGTGTGTGTGTGCGTGGACGTATCTATACGATAAAAAAAAATGTGTTCACAACAACAAAAAAAGAAGGAAATATAGAAAGACATTCAGAAAGAAAGAAAGACAAAAAGAAAGAAAGAAAGAAAAACATACAAAGCGCCTCGCCGGATTTCTTTCTGCAACGCCCCAAATGAGAAAACATAAAAACAAAGACAACAAAAACGACAACAACAAAAACAATAATGCACACAAAAAAACCACTTACATTATATGCGCTGCAAAAACATGAGTGAAAGGTTATTACTCCCACAGAAAGACTTCCTCAGGAAACACTTTTTTCTTTTAACACAAAATCAATATGATACTCTCAATATTATAAATATACACACTTTTTTAAACAAGTTTCCACATAAAAGCCAAAGAAAGTCAAATATAATTACGTCTTAGTAATGCATGTCAGCGATACGACCTCTCAATAGATCAGACACATTGTTAATGTGATTTTTGTTTCCACGTCAACGCATTATTGTC